AAGTAAAACCTAACTAAGAATTATTAGTTTAAAAAAAATATTAAAAATGCTTCTTTTTATTTGAATTTTTAGTTTCAGATTTAGTTATTTTTAATAAAATGTTTATTCTGCAATTAATCTACTGTTATTTGCTGCTATGCAAATTAGTCCATTATTTTAGCTTTCCCATTAGCTATACTGTTGAGGAAAATGATGTTTTTGTTATTTATTTTCATTTTGTTTATGAAAGATGATTAAGCTGTTTGTATTCTGTAAGAGTAAGTTGTTTTAATTTTTCATTGTTTTTCGAAAAGGGTAAATGAAATAAAGTTATTTTAATTAACAAATCTCATGAAACATGATAAATTTGTAAAGCCAAACAACCACCAGATTACATCGAGCTACTTTACTGCAATTATATTTAATTAATTACTGTTTGGCTTTAAAAATTTATTGGGTTTTGTGAGGTTTGTTTATGTATGTATATGTATATATATATACAATATTGGGGTTGATCAATGGCTGGATGAATGCCATGAGTAAGAGTTTATTGGACAAGGGCTCTGAAGACGTTTCCAGTTATATCATATTCAAATGTCTGGAAGAGCAGATTGAAACAGAGGCTTGGGAAACATAACTGAGAACGCATCCACACGGTAAGTGGGAGTTGCAGGTTCGAGTCCTGCTCTGGGCAAATTCTTTTCTTCCAGAATATTCTAAATTGTTTAATAAATATTAATTTAATTATAAATATAAGTTTAATAAGAAATGGCACCTAACACCTCCTTATAGTGACAAATTATTTAGTAATTAATTAAATACAATTGCAGTAAAGTAGCCCAATGTAATCCAGTGGGTGTTTGGTTTGAAGTTATTTTAAGTGTGTTAGAAGCTAAAATAGAGTTGCAACATAGTAATGTGTAGATTTGTTTTTGACGTGTGGACGAATACATAAATGCAGAGATCAAAGGTTTTGTCATTTATTTTAGATTTGAGTTTTGTAGGATTGAGGAATTGTCATTACCTAACTTTAACCTGTACTTTTTAGATGCAAATTGTTTAGATACAAACTACAAGCTAAAGGTAGCTTGTAGTTTTTCTTTATATTTATCAAAATGATTTAATGTAACAAAAATAACTAAAAACTAAGTAATTGTAACTGTCCAAGAATATTCATTTTAGATTAATTTTAAACCTAACTTTGCCATTTTGACATTTTGATAATGTATTTTAAATATAAGAAAATTAACAAAAATATTTACTTAATTGTAATTTTTTGAAAATTTGTTACTGTTACATTCAAATAAATATTAGTTTTGCATTTTTGAATGTCTGCTTTAATGTAGAATTAATGTAAAATTGTCAAAATATAACAAATAACTACTAATTCACTTCAGTTAGATATTTAATTTTGACTAAATTTTCTTATAACATGCTTTATCTACCATGCCTCAAAATCATGCTACGTGACACAGTATAACATTGGAATGTAACATGTGACTCATCATGCAGAGGTTTAACATAACAGTACCAAACTTTTTTAAAAAACTTTTGTATGTCAGAAAAAATGCAAACTTTTGTATAAGAATGACAAAGGCATTTAAGAAAAAGGATCTTGTAACAAAAAAGACATACAATCTCAAATTAAGGAGTAAAATTTTAATTAAATTAGTCATTGATAATAGCTTTAAACCGCTAACTTGGAATGACACAAAATTATATTATACTAGCAGATGAGCCTGACATTGCTCAGACAAAAAGTAACAATAGCAAAGATTAAGATTATTAGATTATAGCCAATCTTACCCATTTCACCGAGTGCAAGAATTAGGTCTCCCCTCTTCTGAGACTAATTAGAGAACTTTTATATATCTGCTTACTACACTGGGATAACGATAATTAAGATTCACAGCAACCACTAACTGGTGCATAGTATCACTAAGTGATGAATAGCAAATGTTTTTGTAACTCTTTCTGGGTTCTTTGTCAGGTTTACTAAATTCAAAAAATAAGCTGGATCTTCCCGAATCATTCATAAATATAAATTCGAACAAAAAATCAAACATTTGAATAAAGAGTTTGAATAAAGCAAACTTACACACATGTGCTCCCCGTGTCAACTTTATATACGATGGAACACTAAATATTGTTGAGAATTTTTAGAAGGGTCTAAAAACATGTTCAATTTTCTGCATAAATGCAAAAAAGACATTTAAAATAGTACAGTAGAAGCAGAGTTCTTCAGGGTAATTCTTAACCCTCTCTCTTCCCCCGCAGTGGAAATTTCGAAAAATCCCTTCTTAGTGTATGTTCTCATGACATATCCTAACTGTATACCAAATTTTAGCTTTCGACCCCTAACCTTTGCTTTGCGATTATTATTATTATAAGATTCATCATACAATATAACAGGTTTAGTCTTGACAAAACTCATTTCCATTATCTCATAATGCTTGTGATATTTCAATGCTAAAACCTTTGCATGATTGTAAAAATGTGTAATTATAAATTTTAATTTTATTTGTTTACACTACTTTTTAAATAAATTATAATAAAATTTTAAATACAATTAAACAAGTTAATTATTAATTAAATTTACTTAATAACTTAATTTAATTAAGTTATTAAGTAAATTAAACAACTTTATTTAAAAAAAACTTTAAATGTTTTTCTTTTTTTTTAAATCCTTAATTTATTCAGTACAATAGAATAAAATATATCAATAAAGCTCTATTTAAATTATTCGTGTAATGTCAGAAAATGAGAATAAAGATAGTTTATATATTTTGAATATTTCTTG